TTTTTTGTGGAACCAGGGATCGAACTCAGGCCCTGAGCTTGCCAGGGAAGCGCTTATTCCACTGAGCCATCTCCCCAGCCCCAAGCAACCCCATTATTGTCTCCTGGAGAAAAAAAGGAAGTGAAAGGGTAAATGAGTTACATAAGCGATGCCATATTACTTTGTAACAATACTTCAGTAATGGTTAATTTGATAGCTCTGAGTCTACAAACTTGTATATCAGTCACCAATCACAAAACAAATACATCCCTTGATGAATCTTGTTTCCCATCTCCATGAGCCCTGTCATTTGTTTTTTAAGGACAGGCTTTCTTTTTTTTTCTTCAGGACTGGGGATTGAACTCAGGACCCTGCGCTTGCCAGGCAAACGCTTATTCTACTGAGCTATCTCCCCAGCCTCAAGGACAGGCTTATTTTGGCTCACATGCCAATCATCCTTTATTATCATTGATGTCCACTTATACAATCAAGCATCTGATTTTTTAAAAATAGTTCTAACTAGCCATCGCTAAGTAACAAGATTTTTGCTGAGCATCATCTCAGTACTCAGAAGACTGAGGCAGAAAACTGCCACAAGATTGAGGCCAGTTGGGGCTACACAGTGACTTCAAGGACAGCCTGGACAGTATAGTGAGACTGTCTCAGAGAACCACACCCACACACAAAAGTAATAAAACTCTGTCATGCAAATTGTATGCAACTGGTTGTTAAATTCTGTAATAAATGCCAATTCATATTAAGGACATTTAGCTCCACACTGGCATAAAAACAGGCATGTGAATCAATGGAACAGAATAGAAGATGGAGAAACAACCTCAGGCACATTTAGCCATCTGATCTTTGACAAAGGGGCCAAAAAACACATGCTGGAAGAAAAATAGCCTCTTTGATGTTATTTCTTATGGTTAATCAGAAGCCCAGTTGCATAAGAAATAACATTGAGCATCAACAAATAGAATCATATCAAATTAAAAGGCTTCTGAACAGCAAGGAAAACAACTACCAGAGTGAAGAGATAACCCACAGAATGAGAAAAAAAAAAAAAAAAGATTTGCTAGCTATTCCTCAGATAGAAGATTAATATTTAGAATATATATTAAAAAATCTCAAAATAACTAGACTTCCCAAAATAAAAGATGCAAGCTGGTGGTGCTGGTGAGATGGCTCAGTGGTCTAAAGCGCCTACTTGGAACAAGCTTGGCAAAGCGCAGGGACCGTGGTTCAATCCCCCAGCACCACATGCCAGCCAGCCCC